TGGTATGGTATGGTATCGGTATGGTATGGTATGGTATGGTATGGTATGGTATGGTATGGTATGGTATGGTATGGTATGGTATGGTATGGTATGGTATGGTATGGTATGGTATGGTATGGTATGGGGAAACGGACCTTGCAGGGTGACATCACGGAATTCTATATGGAGGTTTCCGTAGCCTTTTATGGGGAAGAGTCTTGCTATCAAGAGGTCACAGTTGTACTTGGCGGTCGCGAGGAACTTGCCGATGTGAATAGTGATCCCAGCTGCGAGGTTATTCAGGTCCGCCTTGGAAGAATAGATGCAATGAGAATGCAGGTTCGTCATTGGAAAGAGTCTAGGAGCCGATGGAGTGGGGAAACTCAGAATCAAGCGATGAGCTCACATCGATATGTTTCAACTCCAGCGTCTTAAGGCCTTCGACCTTGATTCTGTCTACTTGGATGTTCCCGACTTTCGTCTTTCCATTCACGTTGTCAGGCACTGATAGGGGATCAAGGGGCGGGATCTGGAAGAAATGCTCTTTTAGTCCCGAAATTGGTTTCGCGATAGTTATTTCGGAGTCTCACATCTATCAGCGATGAGAGAACCATTAACTTGCTTTGAGCTCTGGTATGCCGGTCCCCATGTTACTCCGGAGGTTTTGCAGGACCTCTTCGAGGTATTTCTTGAATCCCTCATTGATATCCCTATGCTGATCTCCAGTGGCACTGCTATCTGAGGATCCGGAACGAAGGTTTCCCTGAGATTGCTATACGTTACGAAAGCGGTGGGTAGAATGGGTGACACTTCCGTGAACGATGCTTACGGAGCCATTTTTCCATTTCAATTTCCGATCGATAAATCTCACAGTATGCTAAGCCCGATACACCGAGTACACCGACGAGGAATGAGACGAAAACCTAAAGTATCACTCGCCCGACCGGAAATCTGCTCTCTTCCGACTGTGGAATCTCGATTGAATTCTACCTCGTACGAAAGGAAGAAACAAAGTTTTCTTCCTGTCTTTTTACGGAATTTTCAAGGCCGGGCTGCCCTCAGTCGTTTCCTCAGGTTTATTCGCTCCCCGAACATTGAGAAACTTGGCCATGGGATCTTTCATAGCGAGACGAGGCCTATCGAGAATACCGTACGCGACTCATACTCCTCAGCGTATCCAGGAACCCTCCGAATGGGTAAGGGGGTGTGGAATGATAACTGAGTCCCGTTTCGATCTGGGAAGTTGAGCTTGTCGGATCCCTTGGGGAAGGCTATTTCCGTTTCAATTTCCGATCGATAAACCTCACGGTATGCTGAGCCCGATACACCGAGTACACAGACAAGGAATGAGACGAAAGCATCACTCGCCGGAGTTCTGCTCTCTTTCGACTCTGGAGTCTCGATTGAATCCTGCCTCGTACGAGGAACGAAACCAAGTTTTCTTCCTGTTTTTTCACTCCGTTTACAAGCGTCAAAGGTAAACCGAGCCTTAGATGAACACTCAGTCAGAGAATCGGCTGTGTCGAGCCGCAACGGCTCGCGGAATAAACTAATCCGATGACTGAAACCGAAGAGTCCAGAGCACATAAATTTTTAGACAATCTGTCGCAGGCCAAGGCCACGCCGAGATTTTTACACCATTCTCTTTCGGGGGCTGCTGTGGCGGCAGATCCAAGTTGGCAGGAGCAATCGTAACCTGGAATATATTTCTATCTCCTCCGGCAAAGAAAAATGCAAACTTCCCCCCTTAAGCTCCGGGCGAGGCCAATCGGTCCCATCCGAGGTAATTATTACATCTTTCTCAGTTGACAGCAGCGCTTTGCATAAGTTCCGAGAAGTGACTTTCCTCTAGAAGAGAAACTTTTGAAGGCTCTTTCAAGCCATCGATCGAAATCAAGGACCGGAGCGAGTTAGACTTTCCTGAATGAATGGAATCTTCGGCGTCGCGCGTTGAAGCGGATGGTATTCATGTTGACTGCCAGTGCTCTCTGGTGTTCTCTCGAGGGTTCAAATTTGGAGTTGATGTCCCTCGTGAAGCGGTCCCATGAACGGAATCCGCGGGGGTGGGAAGGGAGTGCACTTCAGGTTGAGATGTTTCACTCGCACTCGTAGTGAATCGATGTCTCTTTGCGAACTTCGCCCCACAACACCGATCATGTATTCCTATGTCCTTTTATGAAATGTTCATGAAGAGGTCGGAATCGACAGCGCGCGAGATCGACGCCGCGCCGTTCAGATTCCAATGATTCTACGCGAGACACGAGTATTGAGCATTCAAGAGACACAGATTCAAGAGACAGATAATGTTGCCCATTGTAAATGATTATTCTGTAGACTTCCTCATTTCAACGCACAGTCTGTCAAGATCGGTCGGCTCGCGACGCTCATCGAGAGCCTGTCGGTCCAAGGTTGACGAATGTATTTCATTAAGGTCGAGCCGTTACAAGGCATGCGGCACTCTTTCGAATTACGAGCAATGAAACAATTTCTTCCGTAGTCGATGACTTTCCCAGCTTCGCACGCTTGGTAAACTTCCTTCCTCGAGCGGGCGAGTAAAGCCGCTTGGAAACATTCTCACGTCGATGATATCCTCAGACAGATCTGAGAATTTCCAAGGGCTGGGCGCTCTCAGTCGTTGGCTCAGGTTTATTCGCTCCCCGAACGTCGAGAAACTTCGATCTTAATTTTGATATTGATTTTGATCTAAATTTGGATCTTGAATTTGATCTTGATGATGATTTTAAAACTCTTCGTCATTGATATCGATCGATGATGTCTTGCTTTGAGTCTCTCGATTTTATGCCGAAAGATCATGTTTAGGAATATTTTATTTCGGGAATCGATTCCTTCTTGTGGGCGAGAGTGGACCAGGACATAGGGTAGGATTCAAGATGGCGGCTAACCGTTTTTCTCCGCCGTTCTGACGGAGGATGATGGAAGGGATTGCTTGCTAGAACCCCTCGGAGACGTATACCTGATTCGGAGGAATCGTTTCCTTTAATATAAACTTCCCTCGGTGTACCGGGTGGTGCCAAACTCAGTTTTCCACTATGGGGAAATAATTCGGCCTAACTTCTTCTGGCCCCCAAAACGCCGCCTGCGTACTTTGTGGTCTATGGGGATCATCACCATCATCATAATTCTGCGACATATCTCTATCTCTATATATAAAAATCGCATGTATGTCTGTTTGTTCGCTATGCATTCCATTACCACAGAACATGCAGCCGAAATTTTACCCGATTTTTTTTTTTAATATACCCGAGATTATATACCCAAGAAGGTTTAGCGCCAATAAAATTTCAATTCGCATCGAATTTATCGCTACGTAATCGCGTATAATAACTTGCCGTTACTTCGTCCTCATCGTTATTGTAATGAGCTAATTCGACCAATGGGGTGGCAGTATCGTTATGAACATTGTAGAGTGGTGTTCACGTTGCTATCCCTCTGCTCTACGGGAAATCATTAGAAAAACGTTTTTGAAGCGACCATCATGCCCCCCAAGCGACAATCAATTGGTCGGTCGACACGTTCCGCCGCGAAGCGGAGGGCGACTCCGGCGCTAGAGACCAACACGCAAAGATTCTGTTCGGAGTAATGTTGCTCAATTCCGTGCAAATGAATCATCTGATCATCGAGAATCGAGGTTAGAAATTATTCGTCTTTATACCGCAAACGCCCGACTCAGCGAAAACCATGATGAAAGAGCTGCTAGATTGGCGTGCAATAGAGAACGGAATTCTCGATCTCGACGATCTGAAAGCACTGAATTGAAGTATAGTGCTTTTCATTACGACCCAAGTTGCGATTATAGCCTCAAACCCGAGGTAAGGATCGGCGAAATGAATAAGTCATGCCAATATTGTTGCGCACTCAAGTTCAAGAATGTGCCGCCAGGATTGTGCTGTGCAAGTGGGAAGGTAAAGCTTCCCGAATTGCTTGCGCCGCCAGAGCCATTGTTAACATTGATTTCTAGCTCAATCGCTGAATCGAATCACTTTTTAAGGAACATACGCAAGTAAAATTCATGTTTGTTTCATGGGTGCTCTGGATGAGTACTCATATCGGTTGATGGTTCGAGATAATGCCGACAATCATATCCTACGATGCCGGCAGTTATTCCATCAATTCGTTGTCGATATGTATGCGAAAATTGAGACCGAACGACTGTTATTCATCAGGCTGAATCAATCGAAATTACGCTCAGAGGAGTATGATCATTCACGCGATGCGATAAACAACGATGGCAATGTCAATCCCAGTGAGCTTGGCAAGATGGTGATCTTGCCTGCGACATTTACCGGGAGCCCCAGACATATGCACGAATACGCACAAGATGCTATGACATATGTTCGGAATTATGGTCGCCCAGATCTTTTCATTACATTTACATGTAATCCCGCGTGGGAGGAGATAAAAGCGCTATTGTGTCCCGATCAATCGAGCTCGGATCGCCATGATATTTTCGCACGCGTATTCAAACAAAATTGAAAGCACTCATGGATTTCATTGTCAAACACAATGTTTTCGGAGAATCTCGCTGCTGGATGTATTCTATTGAATCGCAGAAATCAGGATTGCCGCGTGCCCACATTTTGATTTGGCTTATTGAAAAGATCACACCGGAGAAGATTGACGATGTGATTTCAGCCGAAATACCTGATGAAGAACTCGATCCGGAGTTATTTCAAATCATTTCGAAGAACATGATTCATGGGCCATGTGGTGCGTTTAATGACAAATCCCCGTGCATGAAAGACGGTAAAATGTACGAAGCGATATCCGAGGAAACTACTGGCCCAAACTATTACTGGGAATGATGGTTACCCACAATACCGACGTAGGTCACTGACAGATGGCGGGAAAAGTATGAAATTGAAAGTACGAAATGTTGATGTTCCCGTCGATAAATAATCGCTGGGTTGTGCCGTATTCGCCGCTTCTGTCAAAAACGTTTAAAGCTCACATCAACGTCGAGTATTGCAATTCGGTCAAATCAATCAAGTACATCTGCAAATATATCAACAAAGGGCATGATATGGCGATATTTGGAATGGAAAATGCATCTGCTCAATATGACGAGATCGAGCGCTATCAAGCTGGCCGATACATCAGCAGCAATGAGGCGGTCTGGCGTATTCTGTCGTTTCCGATCCATGAGCGGCATCCAGCAGTGATACACTTAGCGGTACACCTTGAGAACGGACAGCGCATATATTTCACGGCGGGCAATCTCCAGTCGAGGCTCCAATCCCCTCCACAGACAATGATCCATTCGCGAGCACGTTGCTCTTCTCAGAAGTACCGAGATACTACACATGGAAAATTGTAGCCAAAAAGTTTCAGCGGCGAAAAATAGGTAACAATGCAAACATAAGATAAACTAAATATTTCAGTCAAATTCAAATGGCCCCTGCCTGTTCCAAGAAAATACATCTACGGTTCGCAGCGAAGCGCGACCGGGCACGCTAGTATATCTATATACATGAAATAATATATATATTATATATATATATATATATATATATACATCATACGCGACTCATACTCCTTAGCGGATCCAGGAACCCTCCGAATGGTAAGGGGGTGTGGAATGATAAACTAAATATTTCAATCAAATTCAAATAACTGAGTCCCGTTTCGATCTGGGAAGTTGAGCTTGTCGGATCCCTTGGGGAAGGCTATCGTCTGACCGCCCGCCGGGATCCGAGCCTGTGTCTCGAGTTCGACTCAAAAGCGGCAAATTGGAGAGAGTCCAAATTTATAATCTGGACCCTTTCGCGACGGAACTCACCGTTGCTGAAGAGCGTCAGCACGAACACCGTTAACACAAAGGTCGAGCGCATTCTCGACATCATCGCCGCAGTAGTAAACTTGTCTGTCGTATTAACACGCGACGCACCGATGATATAAAGGTTCACGGGTTGAGCCTTTCCCTAGTTGAAATCACGAAGCTAACCCAGGAAGCAGCAGTCCGATAGGCTCCAAATGGAAGCTCTCGTTGGATCCGAAGGATTTAGGAACTCTCCGTCGGGCTCTCATTCGAGATAAAAATTCCAAATCGGATTTAGCCGAGTATTTTCACGCGAATCCATTTTACCTACACAAGAGTAGGATTGAGAGGGATTCGCGAATATCCCTTGACTTTGGAGCGCCGCTCTTGATCTCCAAGCAGCCCTTCTGGCGCCCTAATCGCGAACAACACCGAGCTCAAGCTAATGATTACTCCCTCGACTATGGATCGCGCACGAGAGAGTCTTCGACTGCGTTCAGTATTGCTTTGCTTACTTGGGGTGAATTATATCAAAATTGAGCGGATAGGGACCACACCGACCATGGGAAGAGTTCTCGACTCATGTATTCATGAGCAGCTAGCAGTGTGACTTCGGAGAGCATATGTGAAACTGGAATACTGCGGCGTCGCTTTTCATACGGCGGAAGGCGGCGGGGGGGAGAAACTGAAAAACTCATCGTTGCGTTGGAAGGGTTTCGGAACTTTCAAGCGAAAGTTATGCAAATTCGAGTGCCCGAACGAGATCCCGAGAGCTGCTTGTGTGCGAATGTGTCCCTTTGCCCCCTCCCATCTGAGGAGGTCTCCAAGCAGGAGGAAGTACGCCGCCTGAACTTGCGCCACCGATCCTCGATCTCGTCGCGAACTTCTACGAACTCCAGCGGAGAGCGGGCCCATACATCTGGGCGAGCGTATAACGCTCAACGGTGACCCCCGGATAATGTGTTTCGGGACAACTTACCCATCAATTCAACTGACGAGCCGCATATGATGGGAAAGGCTCTGAGGGAGCGATGACCTCCAACGAGCGTAGTCGTCGATGCGAGAACACGCCTCGCCGAATTTCCAGGACTCGAGCTCCGATCCACGCCTTGTATCAATTGAGTAACTGCTCCAACGGTACTACGTCTCAATCATTCCTATTTCTCAGGGAGTCTCGATGTTCGATTTCGCCTAGAATCAAAATTGCCATTCCCAGCATTGGTTCCTCTGGCTCGCGTCGACGGGTTCCGCCACGAGTCCGGAGCTCCAGAGTTTTTCCCACGATCAGACTTTGAGGGATCAAGCTCCATGCTCGTCGGAGTCCTGGAAACCGATCCCCGACTGTCCGGAGCGGCAACCGATACGAGTCTACCTAATCCATGTGACCTTGTCAATAATGCTCCTAATACCAGCAACGAAACATCCTCAGGGAAATAACATTAGCGAAATAATCCCTCGGTTTCGCTCTCGGCCGGTCCGGAAAGTTGGCCTACTCACCGAATCTCGCCGAGGAGAGATATACCGTGAGCCGTTATTCATGCCGATCAGCAGAGGAAATCCAGCAAAACTTTTCCCCGGAAACAAAAACTCTGAAAGACTTGATACGCAGCCTCCATGACTCCGAGCACGGGCCCTACAGGTGACCCGAACGTGTCATATCGTGATGCGCCTATAGATAGGGATGCGGGGAGAATTCCCCGGAGGAAACGAAGAACACACAGCTCAATTAGAGTGTGGTCGAGGAGCGGCTCTCCTGCCGGCCCTAGCTCGTTGACATATCGTTCCCTCCGTGGTGCTGTGCGATAGGACCGCGAGCGGCACGGGACGGGCTTGCGCGTCTTCCCCTCATTCTGGAAGATGCCTCTAACGAATTCCACGCAAACAGTTGTACATATTAGCCCTGTGTCGTCGCCAGACTTGACCGCTCGCCGCTTTATCGCGACCAGCTCTCTGTTTCCTGCTACGCCTCGGCAGGATCCCCTCTGGGAAGGGAGAGGGGGACGGAGAGTCATCTCAGAGGATGCTTGCCCGTTCACTCGTTCGTTTCCATCTCCATGGAGAATTCATTCTTCCGACTCGCACTGCCTGTGGCTTCCCATGCGGTGGCCTGCTTGCTCGCTTCCCCGCTGCCTTTTATTCATTCCAAGTGAGCGAGCGAGTGAATGAGTGAGCGAGCGTCTGGAGGAGCCAGCGAGCTTCCCCCCTGCTCTCAGCAGCGAAGTTCCCCTGTCGTTCTCAATGTTTTCTTATTTCCGTTGGGGCTCCCAAACACACAACCACGATTGTCTCGTGAGCAAGTGGAATGCTCCGCGCTCTCAGTCTCAGAATTTCGTGTGCGCGCAGTCCGAAAATTGCCCGATAATTCTCCCCTGCCGACCGATGCAACTCGATTGTTGTGCCCGAAAAAACCCTCCCGCCTATCTCGTGACCCGAAAGTCCAGATCCGGACGTCGTTGGCACCGTGCTTATCTCAGCGACCTGCGAGAATGATAACGCTTTCGATCTACCTGTATGGTATATGCATTAAACACATAGGATGCCATGCATATGTAAGTCAATGTGCTGAAGTTTCGATACCAGGGTCCTGACCAAAAATTGTCACTTACCAGAGCCCCAATTCGAATTCCATCAAGAAAGTCGGATGCGGGCTCATGATCTGCTGATCGATCGGCTATGCATCGCTCAAGGCCTCTGACAGCCACAAGGAAGGAAAAAGCGTGACGATGACCGAAGAACACTCTGAGACACCGAAGGATCGGTGTCTTCTGTTTCTAGCGTTTCTGGTCGAACGATCGTTTCCCGGTTCGACACGGGCCAGAGGACAGGGACATTTGCAAACGATCCGTTCCGGAGAAAATTGTGGTTCGCGGGATAATTCTAGAAAGAATAGAATTTCAGGGTCATCAGTCGAGGTACGAGTTCCAAGCAAGGACCAGGAGGGAGACGAGAGACCGACGGGGAACGACGAGACGGTTCGGATTCTCGGGACATCAGTGTGATGGAGGGAACGATTGGAGACGCGATGACTTTCGAAGAGTGGATCCCGAGGCGGAAGTCGAGAGAAACCCGACGAAAGTCTAACCACGGCCGTGTTGACCACTAACCGAAGACTGGAAGGAGATGGAACAAAGGGTGAATGTCTTTTCCTTTCCAACGGGCAAGGAAAAGCGGAGCATTGAACTCTGGGATCGACAGCCTCCTCTGCATCTCCATGACCTTTTCTCTGTTCCGCGAGTCTCACCGCCGCGTACGCGAATGTCCCCCTCCTCTCGTGGATATCGAATCGGGATCGCGGGAAAAATGAGTGAGGTCGTTCGTCACCTTGAGAGTCCCGAAGCGAATGTCTGACCCGCAACCTGTGTCATTCCCAAAACTTTCGCCTACGCAGGTACGAGCTCCACGGACCTCTGTCGGCAGTTTCCATTCAGTTCCAATCCCGCTATGCAGCGATACGGTGCGCCTGTTCTCGTGTCGAAGAGTTTACCCACTCGGCTGTCCACGCTGGCGCTATTGCGAAGTCTTGACGGTGTCTTGCGCGTGATTATGGATCGACGAAAGCGTGACAGTCATGCTATATTCGGAAGTCTCTCCAGTTCGAACGGCGGTTTTCTCGTGGTTTCTTCGCGAGATTCTTCTCCGAGCACGACAGATTTCATATTCCTCTTTCGCGGACGCCGCGGGATGTTCCTCCTCGACAGATTTGAGCTCGAGGAACGCCGGGACCACAACGGAACGGAGCTCGCGAGAATCCGCGGGAGTCTGGATTTTTGTGCAATTCCTTCTAGACTCGGGATTCCCGAGCCTTGATTTGATTATTCCCTCAGTTCGATTTTTCGATTCTTGCTCCTGCGCTGGAACGACATCTCTCGACCGGAGGTGAGCTTCGTCGAAACGGAATACGTTCGCTCTCGTTTTTTGATGACCGAGAGCGTGCAGTGTCCTCAGGGCTCGTAGCTCAATTGACCCGTCTCCAGCGATTGCCCGCGGTAAATGAACGAGGCAATCCTGTTTGATTAAAGTTGTCACCACCTAAGAACTAACCCTCGTGCGTCCAACTACTATCGGCAACATAAGACAATTCGCTAGACAAGTGGAACCCAGTTGTCTCCCGAATAACTTCTTTCGGCTTCTAAGCCTCTCCTCGGAGGAACTTGTGATTACGTCAACGCAAAAAACGCTTTGTTCGCGTGGCTGTCAATTGATGCCGTGTTAGATGTCCAGTCCAACCTTCAGTTTGCAGCACCGGGGAAGCGTCCTCGTCTGCTCAGCGAGAGATTAGATCGCTGATTCGAACGAAATTCGAGGAACGGAAAACTCAGGAGGGGCGAAAGTTATTGCAACATTCCGGTGATTTTCGGAAGTCCTGGATTGTAATCGAAGCGTCAGGACCCCGCGGGGGATATTCAACAGAGAGTTCGCGCTCGAATGGAGCAGCCCATTCCCCTCCTCGAGACAAGATGGTCTTGGGAATGACCGCGGACCGCGTTTAGATCGAATGTTTCCGCTGGAGAAGCTCTCAGGGATCAAAGGGGCCCTGAGTGGTCCGAAATGGTGCTGTGGTCTTCACCGGGAGCGGAAACGGTTGAGGTGGCAGCGAGACCGCTATCTGAATTTTGGTCTAAATGTCGGTGTGATCCGACAGGCATGCCAGCGCCTCCAGTTCCTGAACGAAATTCCATCAGCAGCATTGTCACTCACGCTCTATGGTAACCGCGAATTCCTGTTTGGCTTCGCCTCCGGTTTGCGTCACTTATGTATCCACTTCCGGCTCCAGTGTCACTCCTCTCCGCCGTTTTTGCCATTATTGCTGAATTAAATCGAATTCTTGAATCTGGCGCGATCCCTACGAGATTGAAGCGGGGAATCGAAGGGGAGTTCTGGGGCTCTCATATCGGCCTCGGGGAAGGGGGCAGGTCTGCGTAAGTCTCGGCAGAAGAAAAACTATGGAGAATCGACGCCAATTCTCCGCGGTATTCACTGAAGTAATCACGGTAAGTACCTGATGCATAATTTGTCCATTGCCGTTGTTCCACCGAGCGTCATATTTCGCCCATCTGGTATGCGAAACCCAAGGAATCAACAGAAGCTTCAAACAACAAGGATTCTC